TAACACAGTCCCTGCTGGTCCAGCGGTATCTGCCTGTCCAGGGCGGCCCTCGGTCAACCAAGAGTACAAGTACTCCGCTTGTGCCCTAAATCCCCACAATCAAAGCATTTCATGCTGCCTGTGCTGGCGTACACCAGGACCTGTCCCTCAATGTGTTTCACTCTGAAGAAAACCTTAACTGTCTGCCGTAATGGACAGTTGAGAAACATGAATACTTGTCTTCTGAAAGACTGGACATGTTTCAGTTTATCGCTCTTCCAGCCCAAACCCACAGTCTTAAAGCCGCTCGCCAGCTTCCTGTAGTGCTCAACCACAAAACACTCCTCTTTCAGGAAAACAACCACCCCTCTATCGATGCAGTGGATAAGACATGCCTTCAGTGTGAGCCTCTGACATATATAGCAGTGCTTTAGACAAAAGCATCAGGTAAATGTATGTTGCCGTGTCCCACACAGTTTCCCAGAACCAGGAGAACTGCCTCTACTGGAACTGATGGGTCGGGCTGGACCTGCATTCCACGCCTCAGACAGGGATGCCACGAAACAAGGCCAATTGCCCGCCAAACAAACACCAGGCTACACTAACGACAAGCACAACACGTACTAAACAATCATAAACAGTAGGAGAAAAAGTAAGGAAACTCGCCACGCTCTGAACACCAAACTCCCAGCATGCAGTGTGAAAGAGCGAGAGAGAGAGAAAGAGAGAGAAAAAAGAAAACCAGAAGGTAAAGTAGTAAATTGCTAAAAAAAATAAATGTTTTTTTTTTCAAACTGTAAGAAAGAAAAGTGAGAAAAACCTAAAATAATAATGAAATAAGAGAAGAAAACAAACTGAACCTCCACCAAGACGGAACAAAGGTTACACTAAAACATGTTTAGAAATGTAAACACAACGATAGAAAACCAGGAGACAGACAGACGTTTCTCATCAGTTCATGTTCTCACCACGTTATAAACGCACTGCCAGTTCTGACTGGGTACATTTACACATCAACATCCCAGATCCGCATCTTGTCCTGGTTTGGATCATTTTCAGGATCTGACGTTTACTTAAACCTGGAAGTTCAGGCGAGTCATCCAGTTCATTTTTAATCATATATAATAGGTGATATTATTAATAAGTGCAGTTGGTTGCTGCAGCGTCGGGGTCCAGGTTTTAGGTCTCTGTCACCTCTGCACAGACTGAGTTACCTGAACCCTTCAAAACAAATTCAACATTCTTGGTGGAGATTTAAAAAAAATAAATAAATAACAGAAAGTGATGAAAGAGAAGCTGCTTTGAAGCCTCCAGCAGAAAGAATGTAAGAGCCAAGAGCGGTGGTGGGTGACAGAGGGATCAAGGAGGGATGATGGGGAGATGGAGGGTGATGGCGGGTGACGGAAGATGATGGAGGATGATAGGGGGACTATAGAGGTTGATGGAGGATAATGGGTGGATGAGGGAGAGACGATAGAAGATGATTGAGAGACAATGGAGGATAATGGGAGTGTGATGGAGGTTGATGGATGACGATGGAAGATGATGGATGACGATGGAAGATGATGGATGACGATGGAAGATGATGGATGACAATGGAGGATGATGGAGGATGATGGAAGATGATGGAAGATGATGGATGACAATGGAAGATGATGGATGACGATGGAAGATGATGGATGACAATGGAAGATGATGGAAGATGATGGAAGATGATGGAAGATGATGGATGACGATGGAAGATGATGGATGACGATGGAAGATGATGGATGACAATGGAAGATGATGGAGGATGATGGAAGATGATGGAAGATGATGGAGGATAATGGAAGATGATGGAGGACGATGGAAGATGATGGAAGATGATGGATGACAATGGAAGATGATGGAGGATAATGGAAGATGATGGAGGTTAATGGATGACGATGGAAGATGATGGATGACGATGGAAGATGATGGATGACGATGGAAGATGATGGAGGATAATGGAAGATGATGGAGGACGATGGAAGATGATGGAAGATGATGGATGACGATGGAAGATGATGGAGGATAATGGAAGATGATGGAGGACGTTGGTGGCATGATGAAATATATGCAGAGAGCAGTCTCAGTTCTACAAACACTTGTTGGGCTGAACAGATAATCCAACAAACCCTGGAGCCAAAGAACAGCAGAGGAGGAGGTCTTCCTCTGTGTTTTGAGGACATATTAAAGGGGGGAGGAAAAACATGGACGACGCTGATGTTCTAAATGTTAATTGATAACATAATGATGAAGGAACACAAAGCTGGAACTCTGTATATAAAATAAAGGTGCATCAAGATGTAACGATAATCCTTTTATAATCGCATCATAGGCCTCTGAATCGTAATCGAATTATGAGGTGCAGAGATATTCCCATCCCTTATATTTTCAGATTCTTACCCACACACAGAATGAGATGCAGTTTCACATACACAAATAATATGATTACAATACACGCTCCAAACTTACGTAATGCTTTTAAGAACCACATTCAAGTCAGGTACATGCTACGGCTAACTAGGCTAACTAGCAAACCCAAGTAACAGAGGCCAATATTAGCTAACTAAAGATATAAACTGTATATCTTACATAAAGATATAAAACACTGAGATAAGCAAAGATCTAAGGCAACCTCATTCAGACTGTGTTTCTGTTTCTAAACTGACAGATGCTAACATGCTAACACCAACATACACGCCTATAGAGCACCGAAGTTCTTCCACTTCCGGCGGTCCACCATGGGTCCTTATTTCGGACAAAATATGTACAGTAGTCAACGGCGAGAGACAACTAATGTTTTAATCCAACCCGTTCTCATCCCAGGTCGTCATATATAGACGCTTTGTCAACACCAACCCTTTAGCTGCGTTTTTGTGCGAGTAGGGCTCCGCAGTCTAGTTAGCAAGAATAACTATGCAGCATCCAATCAAGTCACCATTGGGGTGGTGATGGCGTAACGCTGCCTACGTAAGTTATGTAATATCACAAAAAGGAATCAAAGTTTTAATACAGGAAACAAACACCGGTCTCCTGGCCGAAAGTCCAATTTTTGGGCCACCCGTGCACCCCAAACACCTTCTTACTCAGACTTTTCAATTATTTATCACTTAAGGGCCTACGCCAGTGCGTTGATCTATGACGCAAAATGCTGCCATGTACCAGACGCGGATAGGACCTGATAAAGCATAGCTATTTGATGCTCTGGGAATAAGAATGGGCTGTCTGATCCCGTTTGATTTGTGCCCAAATTTACACATATAATTTTTGTCTGTTTAAAAAATACATTTTAAAGATGCAGTTTTTTGTAAAACTGTTAAGTATCCCCTACCGCAACTATGACTCTCTCCATCTCAGAGAGGGATGTCAGCTGGGCCGGACTCTGTCTCCCCATTCACCCTGAAGCACTGTGCTGATCAGCTGTCTCCGGTGTTCACAGACATCTTTAACACCTCACTGGAGACATGCCATGTGCCAGCCTGCTTCAAAGCCTCCATCATCATCCCTATCCCCAAGAAACAAGGACCACAGGACTAAACCACTGCAGACTCGTCACCCTGACCACTCTGGAAATTACGTCTTTTGAGTACCTTGTGTTGTCCCACCTCAAATCCATCACAGAACAACTCCTTGACCCCCTGCAGTTCGCCTACAGAGCCAACAGATCTGTAGACTATGCAGTAAACATGGCCCTTCACTACATCCTCCAGCACCTGGACTCCCTAGGAACCTATGTCAGGATCCTGTTTGTGAATTTCAGCTCTGCTATCAATACCATAATCCCAGGTCTGCTGCAAAAGAAGCTGGAAAAACATGTCTCAGACTCTCAGCCACCAGTCCAGCGAGATCATGAAGTTTGCGGACGACACCACCCTCACTGGGCTCATCTTTTTGGCGGGGATGAGTCCACCTACAGGTGGGAGACTGACCATCAGGGGACCTGGTGCAGCCTGAGCTACCTGGAGCTGAATACTCCTGAAACTGTGGAGTTGGTCTCCCGGGACTTTAAGTGGGAGCTGAACATCACCTCCCTCACCAAGAAGGCCCAGCAGAGGATGCACTTCCTGCAGCAGCTGAAGAAGTTCAGCCTGCAAAAGACAATGGTGCACTACACCATCACGGAGTCCATTCTCACCTCCTCCATCACCATCTGGTACGCTGCTGCCAGGGACAAGGACAGATTGCAGCGTACCATTCGCTCTGCAGAGAAGGCGACTGGCTGCATTCTGCCATCCCTCCATGAAAGATTGTGGCCGACACTCCCCTCCGGCAGGCGGCTGCGGTCCATTAGGACCAAAACCTCACGCCACAAGAACACTTTCCTCATGTCAGCCGCCTCATCAACAAGGCCTGGGACACCGGCTGACACCGACGCAGTACCCCCCCTAACATTACTCTGTACTCATACTGTACATTTTTGCACATGTGACTCTGATGTAAATATTCTGCACATCTCTGCACTACCTGATGTAAATAACAGCCATATTGTACATATCCTTTATTATTCCTTTACTTCTTATCGGCAATTTTATATATGATTCTTGACCTGAAGTGCTTGGTTTATCTTTCAAATATTTTCTGCCTACTATGTTTATTGTTATGCACCAAAGCAAATTCCTCGTGTGTGTAAACCTGCGTGGCTGTAAAGCTGATTCTGATGATTCTCAGGCAACTTCTGAAGCATCTTTCTTCTCTGATTTCTAAGTGGATATTGATTTCTTTCTGTTTAAACATAAAATGTACTTTCTGTAATTCAAATGCTGCATCTTTGTTTAAAATCTTTAAATGTTGTGAATGATGATAAAGACGCAGAATAAAAAATGGAAATGAGCAAATCTTGAATATTGTAAGTTCTTAGTATTACAGATTAAACAGGTTATAGAAGTGAAACTGCCGTCTGATGGATGGAGGGGTGAACACACACACATTGTTAGATAAACACACATGATGTGCAGCACAGGCGTGGCCTCACGCTGAGTGTTCAGTATATAGCTGACCTTGGTCTCTCTCTCCTCCAGCAGCGTCTCCAGTCTCTTCTGAGCGGCTCGTCCTTCGTGGTCGTCGCTGACGATCAGGATGATGTGGTTCCACCTGAACTCCCTCATCAGGTCGAACCAGACGTGAGCCTGGTGGGAGTACGGAGGCACCGTCCTCAGGAACGACAGGTGGATGCTCTGAGGAAGAAAAGGAAGACTTGATGACTTCACTATCTGGTTCTTTTCAACCCGTTCTCATCCCAACTCCGCTTTGTCAACGCCCCTTGGCGATGCTTTTTAACGCCCTGGGTACCCTTTAGCATTCATTGTTGTCCCACCTGTCCACCCCAACCACCTCCTTACTCTGACTTTTTTGTTATATATAGTAGCTTTAGCTCTGAAGTAAAAGGCATTACAAAGCAAAGGAATGACAATGGGCTGTTCTTTTTCACGTGTCCTTCGAACAAATTTGATAATGTGGTAAGCGGGGTAAACTGAAGAAATGGTGGTTGAATTCCCCGCTGAGGTGGACAGTTTGAAAAGAAGTGGCCTTGCCTCCACAGCGCCGTCTGCTCAGTGGCCAGTCTGTTGCCATGTGGTTAAGCCAAACTTTGTTAGACTTTGTGGCCTTCATAGGAATCCAAAGAAGGTAGGAAAGACGGCCACTCTCACAAGATGGTCCCTGTTCCTGCAGGACGCGGCAGCTCATTTTAAAAACTGTGAAGAAGCAGTGCAGCAGATATGACAGGTCGCCATGGTAGCGACCTGTCAATCAGCTTGTAGCCCCGCCCTAAAGCCTCCCCTGCTTCCTGGTCTCTGTTCCTCTAAATGGGACCATAATTTACTAAATGAACATCATGCTGTGTTGAAGAAGACTTGAAACTAGCGACTGAGACCAGAAACTCATCAGGAAAGTGTTTACTGAGGGAATAAATCAGCTGACAAGTAGAAACATTTTCTTTCTGCAGCCGCTGGAGTCGCATGTAAACATGTAAATATTTCATCACTATCCTAAATCCTCTGGAATAAACTGGGAGTAACTGGAGCGTTGTTCACAGGGAGTGCTGGGATGTTCTGGGACTGATGACACTCAGTTATTTCATCAATATTGTAAACCTGAGAGTGGTTTCCTGTTCAATCACACATCAGAGAGAGTCTCTGAACTGGGACAAACTGGGAAACCTGCACTTAATGGAGCCTGAAGATGAAACAGGAGGGTCTGATATTCTGCATAAACACCTACCAGAGTCCGAATACCCAAATTCATCAAGTAAGACACTTCTTAACAGGGTCATTAAATCTTTTAGACCAAAAGACAATCAGGAACAAAAATACTGTTTAGTATTAAGAAGCACGACCGAGAACAGAATACAGAAAACAAACAGCACGATAAAATATTCACTTTATTACAAAATATTACAACAGGATAAAGTGAGAGAAAAGAAGATGCCCGAGATCGCCGGCTGTTCAGTCAGAAATATTTAAACAAACTATAAAAGATTGAAGCATCATTTCGGTTTCTGTTATTATCGTTAATTCTCACGTTCAGACTCAAACCAACGACATGTCAGTCTGTCTCTCGGTCCAGTCGGACTTCCTGTTTGTGGCTCTCAGCTCCGAGCCCATTAGTTCCTCCCGAAGACGTAACGCTTTAAAAACACCTCGCAAATATATAGTTTCATGTTTAAAAGACTCATATTATCCCAAAACAGCTGCCTGTGGTACTTTCTATCAGCATTTGTTGGCCTATTGACACACTTTCCAGTTGTGTTTCTTGTATATTCTTAGTTTGCCGTATCTCCGTAAAACAGTTAACTAAACCCAAACCGGCTGGAGGCCTTAGCCTGACCAACTTCCAACACGGTCACTGGGCCTCAAACTGTAACGCACTGATGTATTAGCAAGCTGCATATCCAGGTAAAGTTACCACCTCCACCCCTTCATGGTTTGGGATCAAACAGGATCTCTCTAAAAGAGTTCTCCCAGCTCTTCTCTTTTCACTAACCAAATCACCAGCAACTCTTACGGATAAGGACTTTATGTTTACGAGCTCTGAAACCTCTCAGAACCACGTCTCATGTCTGATTCAGGTACCTTGTCAGAGTAGATGGACATGCGTGTTGTCAGGCCGACCACGGGGATTCGATAGAAACCAGCGGTGTAGGAGACGGGAGTCGGAGTCAGATGGTCGTTGGACTGTGGAGGGTGACTGACCAGGATCGCATACACCTGAAGAGAAAGAAGAAAACATTTTAGTAATTCCCAAAGTAAAACCGGGGGTTTGTTTCAAACCTGTCTAATCGTCTGAAACTAGATGGTTTCAGACGATTTCATTCTTTATATGTTTCATCACATTTGTCAAATATGAGAGCAGGAGCACACCAAAGTCAGAAGAACGACTTCACAACGTGAACGTGAACGCACCGTGAGCTGCTGGCTGCAATTCACAACCTTCATCTCTAGATGCAACTAAAACTTACGCACTATAATTTACTTATTATTATTATTTTACCAGGCAAGTAAATTAGGAACAGTTTCTTATTTACAATAACGGCTTGGCAGGAGACAAAGGCCTTCTGTGGGAAAGGGTACTGGGATTAAATAAAAACATGAATAGACAGAGGACTTGGAGCAATAGTTGAATAATAAAAACAATCAAGATAGTAGCAGAGTGGCATATAACATAACACATAGCATCATATAAAGAAATTACAGGTTTCTGTAAATGAGTTTTCAGTGGTGACTAGAGTGGAGACTTTTATAGATTTTTGTTGTTGGTTCCAATCGTTGGCCTCGGCGAGCTGAAAGGCGGCGCAACCTAATGATGAAGTAGACATCCCACATACGGAGCAGTTAGGCCTAAGAGAGTTTTGTAAATGAGCATAAATGGATCTTGCGTCGAGTGTGAAGTGATGTCCAGTTTATGGAAATGTTCAGCGGGTTGCCCGTTAATCGGATCGGAAGGTTGGCGGTTCAATCCCCGGCTCCATGACAGGCCGGAGGGTAAAACTGTGTAAAGGGTATTGATGACCAATGGGACGCGTTTCACATCTAGTTACCTTTGATTTAGCGGGAGAGAAGGGGACGTTGGATTGAGATGTGGTTGAGTCAAACAGAGAGCCAGACTGAAGAGCTCTGTCGTTCGGCCTTTTGTCTGTGACAATGACATCAGTGTTGAGGGACGCTGGCCGCTGCAGACAGGATGGTCTGCTTCCCAGGCACTTAACTAATTTCCAAAACTTATTGGGATTAGAAAAACAAAGAGAAAACTGTTCCTCATAATAATCACTTTGGCCTCTGGGGCCGCCTGAGTAAACTTATCTGCCGGAATAATAACAGTCAGCCTGATTATTATTTAATCGAGCTTTTCACCATATTGAGTTTTTGTTGGCGGTGTAATTCAGCCAAGTCATGACTGAACCACGGTTTTTAGTTCTGATTTTCTTTATTGGGGCGTGCTTAATAATTCTGAAAAAGGTCCAAGCATCTTCAACTGAAGGGATCACGCCGATTCTAAATCCAATTTACAGAAATAAAAGCTCACTAAAGTTTTTCATTAAGCGTCTATAGCTGGTCAGAGCAGGGTAGAAAACACCAGCCTTGTACCTATCTGGATTATTTGTAAGGATAACATCTAGCAGAGCAGCAGATTCTAGGTGTTTTTGTCATTCCTTGTAGGATTGGTTATAATCTGAGAGAGGTTTAGCGAATCCCATTGCTGCAGAACCTGGGCAGGCGGATATAGCGTGTCACAATTTAGGTCACCTAACAGCACAAATTCTGATCTAGCGTAAGGTGCCAGAAGAGAGCTTAATGCAGGTAGAGCACAGGCTGGAGCTGGCGGCGGACGATAACACCCAGCAACATTCAGAGAAGAGTTTTCCGAGATTTTGACATCAAATTGTTTAGGTACAGACTTGGAGCAGACAACTGAACAGTGAAGATGTTCTTTGGTAAAGAACCACGTCTCGGTAATGAGAAACCCCTCAGGATTGGAGCTGTGAGCCCATACTTGTTCAGTTTTAGGTTATTAACTTCTAGTGTTCACATGCAGAAAACCCAAACGTTTAGGGGAGCAGAAATCATTCGAGTATTTAGATGCACATTTCCAGAAATGTGAATATATATATACATTTTATTTCTCCTCTTCTGGAAATGTGCATATGAAACCTGGCCCACATGTACAGAATATAATTATATTCTTCTGTTTCACTTTGGTCATGTAAACGTCAATAAAACACCTCTGAAGCACAGCTGCACTGATTAGTCGATTAATCCATTACCGACTGACAGAAAATGAATTCGCTTATGCATCAAGCTTCTCACATACAAAGCAAAAAATCCATCAGTTCATGGAGAAAATAATCAGCAGATTGATCCAGAATGAAAAGAAACAGTTCAGAATGAGCTCCAGCTCAACAACCGCAGCAGCAACATCCTGCTCTACATTAATGACGAGGAATAATAATCTGATAGGAGGAGATATGGTAGTACAACTGCAGTATTTTTACACTGTGGTATTAGTACTTTTCATGCAGTATTCTTCCTGCAGCGCTGCTGTGTGAGAGGGTGGAAACTGAAATCATTTCTACATCACATCACACGTGCAGAGAAGCAGCCTGCAGCGAACACACAGCCTTTATGTGTGCGCTGTCTCTATAATCCCACCATCCCTCCTCCGGGAGGACGGACGGATTACATCTCTGTTTCTGCAGAGAGAGAGGATGATAATCTGATGGTCTCTCTCTCTCTTCAATTCATTTAGCTTTATTGACAGGACGTTTTAGTTCAAGACAGAACGTCACATATTAACCATAAAATTATATAAAAAAGAAAATAAACTATAACTTGCCTTTTGATAAGCAATAACATTTTCTCCTGCCCCGGAACAGTTAATTAAATAACAAATTATAAAAATAATAATAATATTACAGTCATTTTATACAAAGTTTGAGCTGGTTGTTCAGTTCGTGGTGTGAGGAGATTCTCCCAGTGAGTCGGACACTTTCTGCTTCAGATGGAGTTTATCTGGGAAATGTCTTTCTGGACACTAAAGGTTAGCTCTGTCTCTACCTGTCCTCTGAGTTTCTACCCGTCCTCTGAGTTTCTACCTGTCCTCTGTCTCTGCCTGTCCTCTGAGTTTCTACCCGTCCTCTGAGTTTCTACCCGTCCTCTGAGTTTCTACCTGTCCTCTGAGTTTCTACCCGTCCTCTGAGTTTCTACCTGTCCTCTGTCTCTGCCTGTCCTCTGTGTTTCTACCCGTCCTCTGAGTTTCTACCTGTCCTCTGTGTTTCTACCCGTCCTCTGAGTTTCTACCTGTCCTCTGAGTTTCTACCCGTCCTCTGAGTTTCTACCTGTCCTCTGTCTCTGCCTGTCCTCTGAGTTTCTACCCGTCCTCTGAGTTTCTACCCGTCCTCTGAGTTTCTACCCGTCCTCTGAGTTTCTACCTGTCCTCTGAGTTTCTACCCGTCCTCTGAGTTTCTACCTGTCCTCTGAGTTTCTACCCGTCCTCTGAGTTTCTACCCGTCCTCTGAGTTTCTACCTGTCCTCTGTCTCTGCCTGTCCTCTGTCTCTGCCTGTCCTCTGAGTTTCTACCCGTCCTCTGAGTTTCTACCCGTCCTCTGTGTTTCTACCCGTCCTCTGAGTTTCTACCCGTCCTCTGAGTCTCTCCTCCTCTGGTAGCCAGCTCTGTCTGTGACCTCTCTTCACTCAGTCTGTATGTTGTCAACATTTGTCTTAGTTTAGGACATTTTATTGTGCTCAGGTAATTTGCCAGTGTGAATTCTCTTCATCAGATCAGATAACATTGGAATTTACTTTGTGTTTTGGTCGTTTCTTTTTTCTTTCTGCTTGCTGATAATTTGGTTTGGTCTGCTTGAGTTGGTGTTGCTGTCCTGAGGCTGTTGGGGACTTGTTACTGCAGAGAGCCTCAGAACCAGCTGGCTGAGGGGACTCTTCTCTGGTTTCAGCTCCTGGTATGTCAGGGCTTTGTGATGATATGTCTGGGGGTTAACTGATTTTAAGTGATTGTAAAATTTAAGTGATCCTTTCTGTATTTTTAGTAGGAGGGGGTTTTGGCTGAGCTCTGCTCTGCACAGGTTATTTGGTGTTTATCTCTGCACCTGCAGGATGCTCTTACAGAACTCAGTATGGAAAGATTCTATGATTGTTTTATCCCATTTGTCAAATTCATTATTTAGTTATAGGTTCTAGTACAATCTGGAACATTTTTAGCCCGATTTCAATTGGAATATAGATTTTAATGTCTTTGTATGTCATTGAAAGCTCTCCTCAGATCTCCCTCCCTCTACCTCTGTCTCTGATGGTCTCCCCCCCCCCCCCTCTCTCTCCCTCCCCCCCCCTCTCTCTCCAACAAAGCCTCTGTCCGACCAGTCGACGCCATATTGGCCTCATTTCTTCTGCAAAGGCAACGCGTTACTGAAGGATGTGAAAATGTTTTTTTCTCTGCTCGTCTTTCTGTCGGAGTGCAGTCATGTTCACCTCATTAATGAACTCCTACAGGTTGTAACTTCCTATAAAAACTAAAAGCCTTTAAGAGGCTGTAGCAGCGTAAATCCTGCCTCTTAATGTGAAACGTCTAAATGTCCCAGGTGAGATTACAGCACAGGTGAGACCACTGTGACGTACTTTCAGTCTGTAAATCTGTTTCTTTCTGACATTCGGTTGCGTGCTCTCATCGTGGCACTCTTGTCAGTGAATAATATGCATGCCGTGAACTGAGGACAACCTAGACTGGTAGATTATTGTTCTGTAAAATTTTCAAATTATTATTATTTTTTGTTATTGTTCCTTTATTTGTTATTTTATTTCACATTTGATGCTGATTTTTTAGTAGTTGTTTTTTGTCTATTAATATACACACCCTCACAAACACATTTACTGCTTTTTTAATTTATTTTTAATATTCTTTAAACACACACACAGTTTTATTTATTTATTTTTTATTATTATTTTACACATAAAAACACACATTTACTGTTTTATTTATTTATTTTTAATAATGAACTGAATAATGAATTTTATAAATGAACTGCAAAAAAGGAATTGTTCTTTTCTAATTTATTTGTAGCTTTGGCAATATTGTTGTTTTACATTCATGCCAATGAAGCTGAATAGAATAACAATAATGCTCAGAGCTACATATAGTTGCCATGATGCTTTGGAGGATTTCATCATTAAGTATAATGGACCACAGCTAAGTTCAGTGGTTCTCTTCTGTCACCACCTCCCTTCCGGCCCGTTCTCGTTCCCAGAGAGCCAAATGGCTACGCTTTGTTTACCGAGTGCCAATTAATGAAAGGCGGTTAGCGCACATTAACCACATTTATAAAGACAACGCTAACTGGTTAGGTTTGGTCTCCTGATTTAAACTATGATGTCTGGAGGTGCGCTGATCACACTCATAGCTTGTCATCTAGATTTGGCTCCTGTGATACTGAAGGAAACTTAAAAACAAAGATTCTCAGGCAGGTTCTGCAGTCTCTCTTTTCGAGAAAGTGATTTATTACTTTAATTGTAATGAAGATCTGATTGACTGATGTGTGATGAGACGTGAAGTCAAAATAAAACAGAATCTGATCTGAGAGCAGCTGTATCGCAGCAGAGACTTCGGGACGACGAGCTAAAATGGGCGGACGGTGAGAATAAAGACAGACGAGACGTCTCAGACTGAAGCGGCAGAACGCGCCGGTGTGTTCGGTTCAGCGGCTGCTTGTTTATTTTTATTCCTCTTTAATCACAGATTCAGAGCTGAAGGTGGCAAACAGGCAGGTTTATTTCTGGAAACGCTGTTATGTTTTTATCATCGTGTCAGTTTGACTGTGACAAAGGCTGATCGTTAAACTGACAAAAAAGATTCACTGATTAACAAAAACAACACCTGCAGTAAATTAATACTCCATTATTATTTAAATCAGTATACTTACTACCAGTTTAATTAAGTTATTTGGTTTCATGAGAAAATGGGTGAGCAGCTGCACAGATGTTTCACATTAAAAGCCCTCCGTTGGCTTTTAATGTGAAACATCAGCAGTTCAGCTCTCACATCTGACTGTTGTGGTTTTGTATGTTTCCTGTTTTATTCTGTCAACTCCTTCCTTTACTTCCTGTCTCCACTCTCTGTGTTATGTTTCTGCTTCTCGGTTTGTTGAAACAGTCGCAGTTAGGTTAGGTGTAGGAAAACACAGAGGTTCGGATTAAAATAAGAAAATTCGACACGTTCTCACTCGTTGTCACATATGGACACAGGTTTGTGACGCACTGCGGATCCCTGTAGCGTCATAGTTCCACGCAGCAGGGGAAACCCTGTAGCGTCAGGTAAATGAAAAGACTGAGCAAGGAGGTGGTTGGGGTGGATGGAGGGCCACAACCCGGACTTTGAACCACAAGACATGGGTTTGTGTCATGTGTGAAACAAAAAGTCAACATTAAATGTTTTAGTTACGTAAATTGCGGGAGTTAACTTACGTGTTAACTGACGCACGTAGTTATTTTAACCCAAAACCATGACCTTTTCCTAACCTTAACCAAGTACCTTTTGCGCCTAAACCTAACCAAACTGCAACGATTCATAACTTTAATAACGTGCTGTTTGAAAATGGTGATGTTTCAAAACGCTAGCGTTTTATTTTGAAAGTCTAACCGGATATATTTATTGTTACTAAGTGTTGCTAACTTGACCGCGGAGCCCTAAATGTCTAAAAATGACGCTAAATGGGTACCCAGGGCGTTAAAATGTGACGCCAAAGGGCCTTGACCCAACGAGTCGGGAGTGAGGATGTGTTGTAGCATCATAGTTCCCCCTAATCCCTAGAGTTTTGAACGCTATAGCTCGGTTAGGGATATTTAACAGAAAAGTCAGAGTAAGGAGGAGGTTGGGGTGGACGTGCATCAACATTGCACCTCGATTACAAATATTGAACGATTTAGTTTCTGAATGTTGTTTTTTCACTGACAAGGTCTGTACAGTAAACATGCTCAACTATTAAAGCTGAGTTCATCTATTCACAGATTTATTCATTAGGCTCTAAGCGTTAATTAATAAGGTAATGTTGACGTGCACATTATGCTTCCCCCTGTATTCGGCGCGTTGCCGCTGCTGAGTTATGACCGTTGCTACTACAATTTCAGTCAATTAAGCTCTGAGTTTCGGTTTTAATTACTTACTTAATGGAGGGCTAGAAAGCAAACTTTCACCCAGGCTTTTGTTTCCTATGTGAAACAAAAAGTCAGCATTAAATGTTTTTATTGAAGTTACGAAGGTTAGATAAGTAGAGTGAGTAACGTTCTTTAAGTTAAAACTCAAAATAACTTCTTAACGTTTACTTGGTTAAACACGGGACTCGAACGCCGTTTTCCTGAGTGTAAGTTTGGGGTTTGACCCATCCTGCCTCGTGGACTAACGCGTCACCTGACTTCCTCCTTTGGGAGCGTGAGCGTCCACTAGAGGGCGCTGCCACCAACGTGAATACACGGTGGGTGTTTTTCTGATGAGGACGGTCTCTAATATTTGGGTAGTTAGAAATACGTTTATAGTGTTTGTGGCGTTACATGAGAAGATGGCCGCCGCTGTCGTAGCTTCATATTTACTCAGTGTGAACAGAGAGAAGCTGAATACTAGCTGTACGTGCGTTGGGCGCCCTCACCTGGTTGGAGATGAGGTCTTCGCAGACGGAGAGCGCCATCTGGATGGCGTTGGGTTTGTGAGTGACAGAGATGGCGTTCATCTTGAACTTGTCCCTCCCGTACAGCGCGTTGGCCTGGCTCACCGCCTCCTTGAACACCTGCTCGTAGCGCTTCTGGCTCAGCACGGCGCCGACGTTCACCAGCCGAGGCTCGCAGCCGCCACGGGCCACTGAGCAGCACTGCAGGACGGTGAGGAGCAGCATCCCCCGGAGCTCCACTGAGGAGGAGAAGGAGGAGGTGGTTAGAGAGAGAGAGGAGGAGGCTAGAGAGAGAGAGAGGAGGAGGAGGTTAGAGAGAGAGGAGGAGGAGGAGGAGGAGGAGGTTAGAGAGAGGAGGAGGAGGAGGAGGAGGAGGTTAGAGAGAGAGAGGAGGAGGCTAGAGAGAGAGAGAGAGGAGGAGGAGGTTAGAGAGAGAGGAGGAGGAGGAGGAGGAGGAGGTTAGAGAGAGAGAGGGAGGAGGAAGAGGAGGAGGAGGAGGTGGTTAGAGAGAGAGAGGAGGAGGCTAGAGAGAGAGAGAGAGGAGGAGGAGGTTAGAGAGAGAGGAGGAGGAGGTTAGAGAGAGAGAGGGAGGAGGAAGAGGAGGAGGAGGAGGAGGTTAGAGAGGGAGGAGGAGGTTAGAGAGGGAGGAGGATGAGGAGGTGGTTAGAGAGGGAGGAGGTGGTTAGAGAGGGAGGAGGAGGTTAGAGGAGGAGGAGGAGGTTAGAGAGAGAGGAGGAGGAGGAGGAGGAGGAGGTTAGAGAGAGAGAGGAGGAGGCTAGAGAGAGAGAGAGAGGAGGAGGAGGTTAGAGAGAGAGGAGGAGGAGGTTAGAGAGAGAGAGGGAGGAGGAAGAGGAGGAGGAGGAGGTGGTTAGAGAGAGAGAGGAGGAGGCTAGAGAGAGAGAGAGAGGAGGAGGAGGTTAGAGAGAGAGGAGGAGGAGGTTAGAGAGAGAGAGGGAGGAGGAAGAGGAGGAGGAGGAGGAGGTTAGAGAGAGAGAGGAGGAGGAGGTTAGAGAGGGAGGAGGATGAGGAGGAGGTTAGAGAGACAGAGAGAGAGGAGGAGGAGGTTAGAGAGAGAGGAGGACGAGGAGGTGGTTAGAGAGGGAGGAGGAGGAGGTTAGAGAGAGAGAGGGAGGAGGAAGAGGAGGAGGAGGAGGAGGTTAGAGAGAGAGAGGAGGAGGAGGTTAGAGAGGGAGGAGGATGAGGAGGAGGTTAGAGAGACAGAGAGAGAGGAGGAGGAGGTTAGAGAGAGAGGAGGACGAGGAGGTGGATAGAGAGGGAGGAGGACGAGGAGGTGGTTAGAGAGGGAGGAGGAGGTTAGAGAGGGAGGAGGACGAGGAGGAGGTTAGAGAGGGAGGAGAAGATTACAGAGGGAGGAGGATGAGGAGGTGGTTAGAGAGGGAGGTGGTTAGAGAGGGAGGAGGAGGTTAGAGAGGGAGGTGGTTAGAGAGGGAGGAGGAGGTTAGAGAGGGAGGAGGACGAGGAGGAGGTTAGAGAGGGAGGAGAAGATTACAGAGGGAGGAGGATGAGGAGGTGGTTAGAGAGGGAGGTGGTTAGAGAGGGAGGAGGACGAGGAGGAGGTTAGAGAGGGAGGAGGAGGTTAGAGAGAGAGGAGGTTAGAGAGGGAGGAGGTGGTTAGAGAGGGAGGAGGAGGTTAGAGAGGGAGGAGGAGGTTAGAGAGGGAGGAGGTTAGATCAGAAAAGCCTCTCGCCAACGCCGTCTCTTAGGAAACCAACTGCAAAATGACCACGATGTTCATGTTCTGGGAGGACAGATGGTTCAAAGAGGAGCGAGAGACGCCATTTAGACCTGAGTAGAGAGACCGCCTCTCAACGGGGGAGGAGGTTAGAGAGGGAGGAGGACGTTAGAGAGGGAGGACGAGGAGGAGGAGGTTAGAGAGAGAGGAGGAGGAGGAGGAGGTTAGAGAGAGAGAGGGAGGAGGAAGAGGAGGAGGAGGAGGAGGTTAGAGAGAGAGGACGAGGAGGTTAGAGAGAGAGGAGGAGGAAGAGGAGGTTAGAGAGAGAGAGGGAGGAGGAAGAGGAGGAGGAGGTTAGAGAGGGAGGAGGAGGTTAGAGAGGGAGGAGGATGAGGAGGAGGTTAGAGAGACAGAGAGAGAGGAGGAGGAGGTTAGAGAGAGAGGAGGACGAGAAGGTGGTTAGAGAGGGAGGAGGTGGATAGAGAGGGAGGAGGACGAGGAGGTGGTTAGAGAGGGAGGAGGAGGTTAGAGAGGGAGGAGGACGAGGAGGAGGTTAGAGAGGGAGGAGAAGATTACAGAGGGAGGAGGATGAGGAGGTGGTTAGAGAGGGAGGAGAAGATTACAGAGGGAGGAGGATGAGGAGGTGGTTAGAGAGGGAGGAGGACGAGGAGGAGGTTAGAGAGGGAGGAGAAGATTACAGAGGGAGGAGGATGAGGAGGTGGTTAGAGAGGGAGGTGGTTAGAGAGGGAGGAGGAGGTTAGAGAGAGAGGACGAGGAGGTTAGAGAGAGAGGAGGAGGAAGAGGAGGTTAGAGAGAGAGAGGGAGGAGGAAGAGGAGGAGGAGGTTAGAGAGAGAGAGGAGGAGGAGGTTAGAGAGGGAGGAGGATGAGGAGGAGGTTAGAGAGACAGAGAGAGAGGAGGAGGAGGTTAGAGAGAGAGGAGGACGAGAAGGTGGTTAGAGAGGGAGGAGGTGGTTAGAGAGGGAGGAGGACGAGGAGGTGGTTAGAGAGGGAGGAGGAGGTTAGAGAGGGAGGAGGACGAGGAGGAGGTTAGAGAGGGAGGAGAAGATTACAGAGGGAGGAGGATGAGGAGGTGGTTAGAGAGGGAGGAGAAGATTACAGAGGGAGGAGGATGAGGAGGTGGTTAGAGAGGGAGGAGGACGAGGAGGAGGTTAGAGAGGGAGGAGAAGATTACAGAGGGAGGAGGATGAGGAGGTGGTTAGAGAGGGAGGTGGTTAGAGAGGGAGGAGGAGGTTAGAGAGGGAGGTGGTTAGAGAGGGAGGAGGAGGTTAGAGAGGGAGGAGGACGAGGAGGAGGTTAGAGAGGGAGGAGAAGATTACAGAGGGAGGAGGATGAGGAGGTGGTTAGAGAGGGAGGTGGTTAGAGAGGGAGGAGGACGAGGAGGAGGTTAGAGAGGGAGGAGGTGGTTAGAGAGAGAGGAGGAGGAAGAGGAGGTAGAGAGAGAGAGGAGGAGGAAGAGGAGGAGGAGGTTAGAGAGAGAGAGGAGGAGGAGGTTAGAGAGGGAGGAGGATGAGGAGGAGGTTAGAGAGACAGAGAGAGAGGAGGAGGAGGTTAGAGAGAGAGGAGGACGAGAAGGTGGTTAGAGAGGGAGGAGGTGGATAGAGAGGGAGGAGGACGAGGAGGTGGTTAGAGAGGGAGGAGGAGGTTAGAGAGGGAGGAGGACGAGGAGGAGGTTAGAGAGGGAGGAGAAGATTACAGAGGGAGGAGGATGAGGAGGTGGTTAGAGAGGGAGGTGGTTAGAGAGGGAGGAGGAGGTTAGAGAGGGAGGTGGTTAGAGAGGGAGGAGGAGGTTAGAGAGGGAGGAGGACGAGGAGGAGGTTAGAGAGGGAGGAGAAGATTACAGAGGGAGGAGGATGAGGAGGTGGTTAGAGAGGGAGGTGGTTAGAGAGGGAGGAGGACGAGGAGGAGGTTAGAGAGGGAGGAGGTGGTTAGAGAGAGAGGAGGTTAGAGAGGGAGGAGGTGGTTAGAGAGGGAGGAGGAGGAGGAGGAGGTTAGAGAGGGAGGAGGTGGTTAGAGAGAGAGGAGGTTAGAGAGGGAGGAGGTGGTTAGAGAGGGAGGAGGAGGTTAGAGAGGGAGGAGGTGGTTAGAGAGGGAGGAGGAGGTTAGAGAGGGAGGAGGTTAGATCAGAAAAGCCTCTCGCCAACGCCGTCTCTTAGGAAACCAACTGCAAAATGACCACGATGTTCATGTTCTGGGAGGACAGATGGTTCAAAGAGGAGCGAGAGACGCCATTTAGACCTGAGTAGAGAGACCGCCTCTCAACGGGAGAGGTGGTTAGAGGGAGGAGGAGGTTAGAGAGGGAGGACGAGGAGGAGGAGGTTAGAGAGGGAGGAGGACGTTAGAGAGAGAGGAGGTTAGAGAGGGAGGAGGACGTTAGAGAGGGAGGACAGATGGTTCAAAGAGGAGCGAGAGACGCTATTTAGACCTGAGTAGAGAGACCGCCTCTCAACGGGAGAGGAGGTTAGAGAGGGAGGAGGACGTTAGAGAGGGAGGACAGATGGTTCAAAGAGGAGCGAGAGACGCCATTTAGACCTGAGTAGAGAGACCACCTCTCAACGGGGGAGGAGGTTAGAGAGGGAGGAGGAGGTTAGAGAGGGAGGAGGAGGTTAGAGAGAGAGGAGGTTAGAGAGGGAGGAGGTGGTTAGAGAGGGAGGACAGATGGTTCAAAGAGGAGCGAGAGACGCTATTAGACCTGAGTAGAGAGACCGCCTCTCAACGGGGGAGGAGGTTAGAGAGGGAGGAGGAGGTTAGAGAGGGAGGACAGATGGTTCAAAGAGGAGCGAGAGACGCCATTTAGACCTGAGTAGAGAGACCGCCTCTCAACGGGGGAGGAGGTTAGAGAGGGAGGAGGAGGTTAGAGAGGGAGGAGGAGGTTAGAGAGGGAGGAGGTGGTTAGAGAGGGAGGAGGAGGTTAGAGAGGGAGGACAGATGGTTCAAAGAGGAGCGAGAGACGCCATTTAGACCTGAGTAGAGAGACCGCCTCTCAACGGGGGAGGAGGTTAGAGAGGGAGGAGGAGGTTAGAGAGGGAGGAGGAGGTTAGAGAGGGAGGAGGACGTTAGAGAGGGAGGAGGAGGTTAGAGAGGGAGGAGGACGTTAGAGAGGGAGGAGGACGTTAGAGAGGGAGGACAGATGGTTCAAAGAGGAGCGAGAGACGCCATTTAGACCTGAGTAGAGAGACCGCCTCTCAACGGGGGAGGAGGTTAGAGAGGGAGGAGGACGTTAGAGAGGGAGGAGGAGGTTAGAGAGGGAGGACAGATGGTTCAAAGAGGAGCGAGAGACGCCATTTAGACCTGAGTAGAGAGACCGCCTCTCAACGGGGGAGGAGGTCTGGGAACCACTTTCATCGCTGTCCTTTCATCTATTCCCAGGAGACTGAACAAACCCTCACATCTCACGACGACAACAGTCGTTCAGACCTCAGGTGACCCCGACGACCACGACCGTCGTCACGGCAGCCAGGAGCATCACCGTGACAATGACCCCACTGAGGTCGACTAGACAGAACGTGCCCCAACACCACTCATCACATGTCAAGACCCCTTGGCGTCGCCTCTTCCCCCCTTTAGCGTCTTTTTGACGTGTAAGCCTCAGCGGTCACGTTAGCAAGAATAAATATGCAACGTCCTGTTAGCCTTTCAAAATAAAACTGCTGGTTCACATTGTGAAACTTCGTAATTAGGTTAAGTCCTGATTTGGCTTCTGTGACTCAAATAAAAACATTTAGATTTTGACTTTTTGCTTCACGCGGAAAACAAAAAACAGTTTTTTCCATAGCTTTAGTGCCTAAATGCTAAAGGGTGTTGACAAAGCGCCCAATACGTCCCGACGCCAAAAAATATAGCACCAACAAAACGGTGGAGCGCAACAGAAAACTACGCAGGACCAACTTTGAAGAATCCTAACTCTAACATGAACCTGTCGACAGTCTGCTGCTGGCGTTACGGCTCGTTAGCTTAGCTCAGTCGCTAACAGGACGCTAAGTGCATTAAGGCGGGATCAGCACGACGTCCTCCTGCCTCGTGACCAGTTCTGACAGAGGAGCTTCAGTAGAGGTTGACAAAGACAGCTAATAAGCTACGCTAGCTTCCTCCGTGTTGGACTTTACGACCAATCAGAGGTCAGCAAACTCTTGACTGACACAAACTTTATTTACACCAACAAGCAAATCCTCAACTTTCGGTGGTTGCATCAGATCAACTGTCCCGCCTTCAAACATTAACACACCTGGTTGTCATTTTGGGAGTGACGGCAGCAGCGTCCAATCCTGTGGCTTGGAATGTGCGTGGTGGGCGTGGCTTCGCTTTTACATGACTCAGTCTTTTTAAATAGCCTAAACTTTATTCCCCATTTAAACTCCTGACTTTATTCTTCATTCAAGCCCAATTTTGTAAAATGTAAAAAAAAAAAAAAAATCAGATTAATCAGCATTTTAATACAAAAATTTAACAGGGCAGAAGAAAAAGAAATTCTGAGGGTCTGATGAATAAAAGAAGAAAGATGGTGTTTTTTTCATTAGTTTTTGCTTTTCTTTAAATAAAAAATCAATTTCAGAATAACAGACCCAGAGAATAAAGTGTGACTCACTGTTTGCTGCTTCTGATGGAAAATCTTTCTCTGGGGTCAGAATTCCGTTACAGAGCCGCGTCACCTCCCAGTATTCCCAGTGCCAGCCCGGTACCGGCAGCGGGTCGTCCTCCTCCTCCGGTCCGGTCCGGTGCCTCGGGGTCTTTCAGGTTAAAGGTGTTTGTCTTTTTTATTTTAAAGAAAGGAATGAAATTAAAGCCTGCGGCTCGGAGGATTAACTGATCTCTGATCGATGAAATGTTGTTTTTCATTCACAGTTTAAACCCGCTGACATTGTTGATCTGCTCTCGCGCTCCGTCCTGTTGATTCACCGTGTCTTCATCACGCGCCGCCTCTCTGGGAAATTAAATCATTTAAAACATCCCTGCTCTGCTCTTCTTCTTCTCCGGGGGATTCATCAGTCCGCGTTTGAAGCTCCGGTCCCGGTAACTCGGTGTCTGTCGGTTGATGCTCGCGGACTTTCAGATGACCTGAAGCTCGCGAGCCCGCGGTCCGTCCTTGGATCCTGACGCTCGCTCTCGCGGCCGCGCGGTCACAGACGGAGAAGACGACGTGCGGCCGCTGGAGCGCGGGCACGAGCTTCTCTCTGTGATGTTAGTGAATTAATGAAACCACACGTGCTCGTCCCCGCGAGCTCACAAAAAACGCCTTCACATTCTGAACAGTCACCTTAATAACCTCTGCCCACCTGTTCCTCACGTGACCCGCTTCAGCTAGTCCTTTATTTAGGCTCCCTCTAACATAATAATAATAATATTAATAACCATAAATATCGTTTATTTATTCAGCACTTTTCAAAAAACAGTGCTTACACAAGTGCAAAGAAAATAAAAAACATTAAAACGAACGAAATTAAGAAATTAAAATACAGTTAAAAGAAAAGACAAATCAATCATCCTTCTGCTCACCTACAAAGCTCTTAATGGTCCAACAGTAGCCTGGGAGCCAGAGCGTTCAGCTACCGAGCTCCTCTCCCGTAGAACCAGGTTCCAGTTTGGGTTCAGGAGACCAGCTCCACATTTAAGAGTATAGACTAAAAGTCCTGAACACAGCCGGCAGAACAGAAGTGGGTGTAGCCGCTGTGACGTCACCCGTTGGTTTGTGGCCTTTTTGTTTTTGGCCCGTCGCCATCTTGTTTTTTGAACCAGACGTGACCATATTTGGAGGAGAGGGTGGAGCTAGCTAGCTTGGTTAGCAAGGTGCATCTGTAATTCACGTTAGCTGTGATATTAGCTGGGAGGCTAATTTTTGTTAGCTACAAACAGGCTTAAAACAAAACGTTCTTACTGAAAAATGAGCGGCCGACTCCTGATGAGCTTTTTCAGCGGCGGTGGTTAAATGAACACAGAGCAGCGGATACGAGTCGCCTCTATCCTGCTTGACTTGTCGCCATGGTAGCGACCTGTCAATCAGCTTGTAGCCCCGCCCTAAAGCCTCCCCTGCTTCCTGGTCTCTGTTCCTCTAAATGGGACCATAATTTACTAAATGAACATCATGCTGTGTTGAAGAAGACTTGAAACTAGCGACCGAGACCATAAACTCATCAGGAAAGTGTTTACTGAGGGAATAAATCAGCTGAGACGTTGCCCTCTGCTGGCTGTTAGAGAGAACGCAGGTTTAAGTTTTTCAGACCTGTAGCTTCCTGCTTGGTCCTGAACATCCCTTAATCTGTGCAGACAATGCACGACTTTAGAAATCTTGTTGTTTCATTCCAACTCACACTGTACGAGTAAATCGACTGTGATGTGAAGCCAAAGCTCACGATGTAGGCGCTCACACTGTGCCAATAAAGATTTATTTAAAGGCTCTGAAGGACGCTAGAAGTTTGTTTGTTAGCAACAATGCTAACAGGGCAGAAACGCGCTGCCTTGCCCTGTGTGCGAAAACGTTTTAAAAAAGTGTGTATTGACCAGGGGGCTGGGAAGATGTGCAGAGTGAAATGGAGGTAAGCTAGCTACGTTTTACTGTACAGATTGTTAACTTGATAGCAAGCGTTGTGTTGCCATGGCACTTTCAGACGCCGTTCACCACTTTACACAGTCTTGTGCTTTCTCGTCCCTCTCCTCTCTCCTCCTATCACTTCCTGCAGGTGTTTCTGGCTCTGGCGCTGTGGAGTCTGGATCTGTGGTTGCGGGTCACCTGCTGCTACTATCATCATCATATTTTACCACTCATATCATTTTACATCTCTGTGTGTTCTCTCACCCCCCCTCACCCACATCTCCCCCCCACCCGGTCGAGGCAGATGGCCGCCCACCCTTGGTCCTGGATCTGCTCGAGGTTTCTGCCTCCTATAAAGGAAGGTTTTCCTTGCCTCTGTCACCAAGTGCTACAGTCTAAACCTGCTCTATATGAAAAGGGCCATGAGATGACTTTTGTTGTGCATTGCCGTCAATAAAATAAGACACTGTTCATCGTTTTTCTGTGTTTGTGTTTATACACACGCACACACACGGATATACTTAGCTGTATCTTCCATAAAAAACTTCTTTCTTTAGTGCTGCTTATTTTTTAAATCTATTTTAGATATTTGAATATTTGCTGTGTGTGCAGCATGTGAGGTTCAAAGCAGCAACATAAATAAATGTATGTTGATTGTCACATTTTGCCAGGTGTAGACCGTAGACTGTAGGTGTAGGCGTGGGAACAAAAGGACTGGCCCCAACACGCAGAGCAGGATCGGTTCTCACTGTTTTATTAACACACATTAAGAGCGGAGGGCAGACAGGAAACAATCCACAGACAGGTGCAGGCAAACATCCCATAATACACCCAGACATGGCAGAGTACCTCGGGGAACACAAGAAGACGATGGGAAGACACTGCTTCAAATGCACAGGAGGGAGGTGATTAACGAGACACAGGTGAAACCAATCAGGGAGGAGCAAACAATCACAAGGGGGAGGGCACACAAAATAAAACAGGAAATACAAAACTCAGAAGCGGGACATTGATTACCAAATTAAAAGTCTGTGCTTTTATTGAGAAGATAGAAACATGTGAATTGTTTTCAGGATGTCGGTGGAAAAAGACTGAAAGCATCAACGCGCTGAAGACGATGCGTCACGTGTGCACAAACGTAATGTAGCTCCATGCTGTTTTATTGTGTGCGTTGTTCAGGACATGTGACCTACGTGTGTTTGTCTGTGTGTCAGGTAAAGGTAAAGGGTCAGACCTGGGTTTGTTTTAGAGTCTGGGTCCTTGCTGTGTGATGCCCGGGTTCAAATCCAACCAATGGCCCTTTGCTGCGTGCCCGACTCGTCACATATGGACGCTCTTTATCGCCCTGGGTAATCTTTGGTGTTGTTTGGGACAAACTTAGCAAGAATTCATATTCAGCGTCCGGTTAGACTTTCACGTTGTCGCAGTTTGGTTAGGTTTCGGAAAAGATTGTGATTTGGGTTAGAACAGTAACTTACGCCAACAAAATAAAAACATTCAGTGTTGACTTTTTGTTTCACACAGGAGACAAACACCGGCCTCCTGGCTAAAAGTCCGGTTTCTGGCCCACTGGTCCACCCCAACCACGTCCACAGGTGACGCCTTGGGAGTGGGAACAGGTCGGCGTGACGCCTCTTCTCTCTCTCTCCCACATTTCCTGTATCTCTAAAAGTTGGTTAGAGAGGGTGAAACTGAATGAAGGTAAGTTATCAGAATCAGATTTATTTGCCAGGTATGTGTGCACATACGAGGAATCTGACTCTGGATTGTACATTGCTCACGATTAATAAAATCAAGCACAGGCTACAGTGTAGAAAACACAAATATACTATGAACGGAAACAAAAACAATGTAGGCAGATTGACAAATAGTGCAGTGAGCAGAGAGCAAAGTAAGTAAATTATTAGCATCGTTATTATGTACATGTCGGAGGTGGATGTGATATTCAGGTACACATGAACACAGTGTGATGAGTGTGAAGGACGCAGTATGAGCAGCTCTGAAACAGAGAATGGTGAAAAAATAATAAGTGTTAGTCGGTAAACAGCTGGCTGATTAGAGGCAGAGTCAGCTGTTCATCAGAGTGATGGCTTGTGGGAAGAAACTGTTGCTGAGTCTGTTGGTTTTGGCGTACAGTGCTCTGTAGCGCCAACCAGAGGGGAGGAGCTGGAACAGGTTGTGTCCGGGGTGAGATGGATCTGCACTGATGTTTCCTGCCCGTTTCCTGACTTTCCTGTTGAACGCCGAGCTGAAGTCCACGAACAGGATCCCTGCATGTGTCCCTGGAGAGTCGAGGTGTTGCAGGATGTGATGCAGACCCAAGTTGACAGCATCCTCCACTGACCTGTTAGCCCTGTAGGCAAACTGCAGGGGGTCCAGCAGGGGGCCTGTAATGTCCTTCAGGTGGGCCAGTCTTTCAAAGGACTTGATGTCAGGGCGACAGGCCTGTAGTCATTCAGTCCAGAGCTCCAGTGATCTGTTGAAGATCTGAGTGAAGATGGGGGCCAGCTGGTCTGCACAGATGGAGACACACCGTCTGGACCAGGAACCTTCCTGATCTCCTGCCGCACGTCCTCTTCACAGACCTCGAGTGCAGGTGAGGTTATGTTATTTATTGTGTCGACCACATGGATTTATATGAAAAGACATTTCTCAGATGTTAACTTCTAACAAAACACTGCAAATAAAATCATTTATCCAAAAGAGTAGATGTCAAATTCTTGGCACGGAGAACGAATATGCCGGTTTTTCTCAGTCGCTCTGGTGCATTTCTGGAATCATCCTTAAGATCTGCATAAACAGTTTGTTCAAACAGCAGCACACAGCGGATCACCTGCAGAGCCCGGGACAGAATCCTTCGTCTGTCTCTCAGCAACAAGTCCATCTTTCAAACCAGACGGTCAACATGTTCAGACATGCTGTCATATTATTATGGACTTTAAGGATTTTCAGGCTGAGGTCTGGATCCACTGCACTTTTTCTGTTCGACAGCTTTAACACAAAAGAAAGTCTAGACACGTTTAGAAAAACTGCTCGACAGATTCTGTTCAGCTGTTTTGCTCGTAGTGCCTTGATGTTTTGGGGGTCGGACTATCAGCCAGAACAACACTGCGATCAACGTGACATGTTGAGAATGTCGGAAACAGCAGATTGTTGAATGAGAAAGGTCTTTCATGACGAGGTGAGGATGTGGCGGCTGAACACTGAGACGGAGGCAAACTGGTAAAGCAGGTTCACTGTGGCGAGCTGTCTTTGTTCGCGTGTTGTGAATGTAAAAACATGAAGTGGACTTCCTGTTCACGGAGACGGTAAAACCAGAACGTCCTGCTGAGATCCAAATGAGAATGTGTGAGTGAAGAGCAGCAGAAGAAGAAACGCTTCTTCTTCTTCTCCTCTCTGTTTAAAACCACATTCATCTTCCCATCCACTGCCAGCGTGCACGGTTGCCCTGGCAACGGGGATGCAGCTCCAAATCCTTACAGCGGTTGCCATGGAAACAAGCCTCTCCATCCCGCCCCCCCTCTGCTCACCAGATATAACTTATGATTAACACACAGTGATGTCATAGCTGGGGTCCGTTCTCACACGCGGTCCACACGGGGAGGGGGGGCGCGATCACAAGACCAGGATGTGACGTCATCACCTGCGGAGGAAGATCATGTGATAGAAAGCTCCAGAACAGCCATAGAGGTTTTTCTCAGTCGCTTTGGTACATTTGGCGCGTTCGGCCTCGACGGCGTCGTCTCGTCACTCGTGC